TCGAAATACAAATTCAAATAAAAATTCTTTTTACCCGTTTCCCCAACCAAGTAAAATAACCAAAGACTTTCGATTCTTAATACACGCGTCTTGTACACCAATGCCGAGCGAGCCGAAGGCGAGTTCGGCATAACTCCGGCCCTCCCTTAGACTCGTCTCTCTACGTCCACAGTGGCAAACGACATTTACCAATGCCCAATACACTTTTTTACACATTACACTTTTTTTCACACCAATTCCGGAGCCGAACGGATATCTCCTCAAAACCAATAAGTATTACCATTTGTGTTCTATATGCATTTATGTTAGGAATTGGAGTCAACAAGTTGAATCGAAATTTTCCAAAAACTTTGCATAGCGATGTTTCCAAAAAACAAAAATATTTCTCATAAATTCAAAAAAAAATGTCCAATCAGTCTGATCAATATCATTTTCTTACCACACCAACACTGAAACTGAGTAATTGTCTTTGTAGAACAGTGAACAGTGCGAGGCGAAGCCGAGCTATGGACGGTTACAAATCAGAGCGAGGCGAGGCGGCCGGAGCCGAGCGTATTTGTCATCAAATCCAAAAAATGATAATAAAATTTAAAAAATCTTATGTGCAAATTTGGATTGAACAAGCTGAATAGAAATTTAAAAAAAAAGGCATTTAATATAGGTGATGTTTCCAAAAAACAAAAATATTCTTCACAAATTCAAAAAAATTGTCAATTCAGTCTGCTCAATATTATGTTCTTAGATTACCAAAATTGAAACGAAGAAATTGTCTTTGTGGAATAGTGATCAGTGCGAGGCGAAGCCGAGCTATGGACCGCGACAAATAAGAGTGAGGCGAGGCGGCGAAGCCGCCGGAGCCGAGCGTATGTCTCATCAAAACTTTGTATAGGTGATGTTTTCATAAACAATATTCCTCGCAAATTCAAAAAAATGATCAATATCATTTTCTTACCACACCAACACTGAAACTGAGAAATTGTCTTTGTTGAACAGCGAACAGTGCGAGGCGAAGCCGAGCTATGGACCGTAACAAATCGGAGCGAGACGAGTATGTCTCATCATACCCAAAAATTGTTCCCAAAATTAGAAAATCTTTATGTGCAATTATGCGCTGATCTGGAATCGAAATTAAAAAAAAAAACAACTTTGTATATATATGTGATGTATCCAAAAAACAAATTTAAAAGAAATGTTAATTCAGTCTGCTCAATATCATTTTCTTACCGCATCAAAACTGAAACTGAGAAATTGTCTTTGTTCAAACCTAATAGTGCGTGTTGACATCTGACAAACGAAAAACATAAATCATTTTAAAGTGTTATCAAAATTAAAGATTTAACAAGTTGAATCGAAATTAAAAAAAAATGACTATAGGTGATGTTCCAAAAAACAAAAACATTCTTCACAAATTTAAAAAAATTGTCAATTGCTCCGCCAGAAGTCGTATTGGGCATGCGCAATGATGTGGGGTAATTTGATCGAAATTTTTATGGTAAGTTCATCTAATTAAATTGTGCAAAAATATATATTGCGCCGAACATAGATTACACCTCCAAAAATTAATACACAAACGTATAATATCCCATTTTCGGCGATATTTGTGCAAAATATACTCACTCTAGCGCAGTCTTAAAATGCGAAGCATTTTTACCAACCTATGTAATGAGATTGACCATTGACATATCGATGCTTTTTTGAACCGAATCAAATTTCTTTTCCCGTTTTAGAAAATTGTAACAACCATTAAGCAAAAAAAATAACAAAAAAAAATAAAAAATAAAAAAAAAAATTAAAAAAAATTGACAAACGGTAAACCACATAAAGAAACAAAAAAATAATAAAATAATTTTAAAAAAATATAAAAAAATTTAAAAAAAAATTTTTTTTTAATTCTATACGGTAAACAACAAAAAAAGGCGTACGTTAATTAAACGGCGCCGATAGGTCCGTAAGGACCTATCTAGTTATAAATAGAAGACAAAGCACGTTTGTAAATCAGTAATCAATTTTAGCTCGTGCCTGACGTTACTTGTGTGTATTAATTTTGTGCGTGAACTGAATTTTTTTACAATGTTGGTGATTGGAGATGTAAGTACTTAAACGCTCTTACATGCTTATTCGTATTCATTTTCTTTTTTATGTGTGTTTGTGAATGCGTGTAGGTAATTTTTACTTTTTATTCCAAAGAATATAAAGAGTCAGGTCGGTTAATGGAAAACGGAAAATACGGCGTCTTCGTTTTATTTTGTTGAAATATTGTTGTAATTTAATACAACGAACAGTACTTACTGTAACCAGGAATTAAATAATGGCGTTCCTTGTCTCCTTCCGGTGGACGCTACGAGTTTTTACTCGTAGGGTGGACGCAATAAACCAAAGAGCTGTAGAAATAACGCAAATTGCATTTTTAAATAA